GTATGTACCTTGGTTGCGGGCACATCCCAGTAGGGGGTTTGCAAGAGGCAGCTGATCGATGTTTCTCTCTCATCAACGTTTCTAGCTCTCTATCTCTCTCCCTTTCTCTCTGTAAGAAAAATCAATAAAAATATATTATTAAAAAAAAAAAAAAAAAAAAAAAAAAAAAAGCTGAAACCGGTTTGGCTCAGTGGTAGAGAGTCGGTCTGCGGACTGAAAGGTCCCGGGTTCGATTCCGGTCAGGGGCATGTATGTTGGTTGCGGGCACATCCCTAGTAGGGGGTGTGCAAGAGGCAGCTGGTCGATGTTTCTCTCTCATTGATGTTTCTAGCTCTCTATCTCTCTCCCTTCCTCTCTGTAAAAATCAATAAAATATATTAAAAAAAAAAAAAAAAATAAAAAAAGGAACTTCTGATAGGGGAACAGCAGCTATGTCCTCTGAAACCCCAGGCTGTGGGGAAAACGTAAGTTTTGCCTTCAGGAGGATCCCCGATCTGATGGGGGAAGTCTGCCCGCAGGAGCCCTCAGTTTAAAGGGAAGACCAAGCCCTACCCTGGGGAATTCACCGTCTGAGGGAGCCCACAGCCCTGCCGTGGGCTAATCCTCCAGTCTGTACAGGGAGCCCTGACTCAGCCACAGGGAAGAATCACGCAAGCAGGTGGAACCGGGGATTTCAGGGGGAGGGAGACAGATTTTCCAGTTGTCCCCTTCGGGGTGGTTACTCACCGCAGCCTCAAAGGCCCTCTTGAGGCTGGCCAGCTCGTAGAGGACGCAGCCCAGGGCCCAGATGTCGCTCTTCTGGTTGTAGGGCTTGCCCTCGCACAGCTCGGGGGAAATGTAGCATGGCGTCCCCACCACCTGCAGGAGGAAAGCTACTATTGCAGCCCAGGGCGGGAAGACAAGGGCCACGTGGAGACCGCTCCCCCCCAAGCAGGCCCAAGTGCTTCCTCCTGCAGGGCCACCCCGGCAGGAGCTACGGGGCCAAGGCCTTGGGGGCGGGGCGGGGCCTAGGGCTGCAGAGTGGGCCGTGGTCCTCAAAACCTCCAGCGCCCTTGCGATTCCCTTCCGCGCCCAGGCACCGTGTAGGCCTTGCTCTTGCTGCTGAGGATCTTGGAGATGCCAAAGTCGCCGATCTTGACGACCATGCGGTGCTTGTCAAGAAGGATGTTCTGGGTCTTGAGGTCGCGGTGCAGGATGAGGTGGGTGTGCACGTGGTGCAGGGCCAGCAGGATCTGCACGAAGAAGTGCAGGATGGTCTCCTCCTCCAGCAGGGAGTTACAGCGCTTCTGGATGAACTCGGCCAGGGTGCCGCCTGCGGCAGCAAGGGCCAGGTCAAGATTCAGTCTTTCCCAAGCCCGAGATTTTCCTTTTATGTAACTGAACACCCGGACAGGGCGAGTGCCTCCCGCCATCGCACTACTTGGATCTGAATTCTAAACCTCTGACCCTCAGCCTAGCTCATTCCAAGGAGGGACACTGGCTACTCCGTGTCTGTCTGTCTCAGAGGTGAGAGGCCCTTGAAGCCGGGCCAGGGAAAGGAATGGGGCCCACCTGGTGCGTATTCCATGGCGATCATGAGGGCCTTGTCCTCCAGGAAGTTCTCGTAGTACTCAATGACGTTGGGGTGGTTGAGCAGCTTGAGGACCTGACACTCATTTTGGGCTGCCTGCCGCTCTTCCTTGGTCATCTGCTCCACCGGGATCTGCTTGATGATCACCAGCTTCTGGTCCGCCTTGCGCAGGCACAGGTGCACAATCCTAAGGGCGCAGAGCACAGCAGTGGGCACCGGCTGAGCCTCCAGCCACACATCAAGCTGGGAAGACCTGGTGACTGGACGGTGACTGGACTTGAGAGGGGAATGGCATGCACACTAAGAGGTCATCTCCCTGCACAGAACACGGAGTTTAGGAATGGGGAAGACTAACACAGACTCCGTGAGACCTTATTTGAAACTCAGTTTCACCACAGGCACAATGAGGCCAAATTAGCCTTCATCTATTTGTTTCCAGACTCTGAAGTCAATTGCCTGGATTCAAATCCTAGCTCCTTCTCTTACTAAATATCTGGCCTTGGATTATGTAACATCATCATCTGGAAAACAGAATTGACTTCAGTATTGTCAAGGTGACCAAATAAGAAAATGCAGCCCTAACCAGTTTGGCTCAGTGGTTAGAGCATCGGCCTGCAGACTGAAGGGTCTCAGGTTAGATTCTGGTCGAGGGCATGTACCTTGGTTGCAGGCACATCCTCAGTAGGAGGTGAGTATGAGGCAGCTGAGCGATGTTTCTCTGGCATTGATGTTTCTAACTCTATTCCTTCCTCTCTATAAAAAAAAAATCAATAAAATATATATTTAAAAAAAAGAAAAGAAAATGCAGCCCAGCTGGCATGGCTCAGTGGCTGAGTGTGGACCTATGAACCAGGAGGTCATGGTTTCATTCCCCGTCAGGGCACATGCCCAGGTTGGAGTTGATCCCCAAGAGGGGCTGTGCAGGAGTCTGGAACCAGGAGGCAACGGATGGATTTTTAAAAAGATATATATTTTATTGATTTTCCACAGAGAGGAAGGAAGAGGGATAGAGAGCTAGAAACATCAACCAGCTGCCTCCTGCACACTGTCTACCGGGGATGTGCCTGAAACCAATGTATATGCCCTTGACCAGAATCAAACCCGTGTCCTTTCAGTCTACAGACCGATGCTTTATCCACTGAGCCAAACCGGTTTTGGCAACAGATGAATGTTTTGCCCTCACTGGATGTTTCTTTTTCCCTCTCCCCTCTGTCTCTAAAAATCAAATATATATATTTTATAAGAATAGCGTTATATATATATATATATATATATATATATATATATATGGATAGCATTCTTTATTTTGCCCACTACCTCCCAACTATACCATGCTTTTCCTCAGTTTCTGAATACTCTGAATTTTCCCCACTTGAGGACCTTCATCTATGCTGCTTCCTCCACCAGAAAAGCGCTGCCTTCACCTTCAGACTATCCCTCATTCCTCCAGTCTTGGCTTGAAACTTCACCTCTCAGAGAACTTTCCCTGACTACCCCAAGTAAGTACTTCCCTGCAATGTCTTGTTTATGATACATTTTTTCTATAGGGAGAAAAGACCACGCCTGTCTTGATCTTAACTGTACACTCATCCAGCGCCGAGAGCCTGACACAGGGCCGGCGCTCAATATTTGTAGAATGAATCAAGTCCGGCATCGAAGACCAGCGCCCTGCGTGGGCGCACACGCTCCCGGGGGCGTGGCCTCCTCCCGAGTCGAGTCCGCCAGCGGGCCCGGGGCCGGAAGCTGGGCGGGGCTTCCCGGAGTGGCCCTCCCGCCTCGGGGCGGGGCTGGCCGGGCGGCGATTTCGCGGACGGAGTTGGGGTTTGTGTTCCCTTCTCCCTGAGTGCTTTCCTCCCCCGAGTCCCGGCTCACCCAAAGGCACCTCTTCCCACCACGCGGATCCGCTCGTACTTCTCCATCTCATGTCTCAGTCACATTTCCGGGACCCCCTACACTCAGACGCAGCGCATGCGCGGGCCCGCCCCTCCGGGGCCACGCCCCAACCCCGGAGCCACGCCCCCCGCTCCGCCAGCTAATTGCCTGGAGCAAGTGGAGCTACAGTACTTGTTGGTTCTGCCTGGTGCCTCCCCTGCAGCAGCCTGGGTCTGCAGGGTTGCTTTCTTGGGGCCCGAGGAAGGAGGGCGATAGGCCATTTCTTGGCGCCCCGAACCCTCCCACCCTCGGGACCGCGTCCGGTCCTCGCAAAGCTTCCTAAGACGGGAGAGGTGCTCTTCGCAGGCCGAGTGGGGATGGGAAGCGAGGACTGACCTCTCTCTGCCCCCTGTTTGCCCACGAGTGACTGTTTTCGGGAAGAAAACAGATTCTCCTTGCTACGCAAACGATACACAATACCAAAACTGAACCGGCGCTCTCGGTCTACCGGGCCCGGGCAGTTTCTTGTTTGCCTAGGGAGGGACGAGGGAAAGCCCGGCCGGTGCACGTTGACCCACCTGCGGGAGGTGTGACGCGGTTTCCAGGCAGCCCAGGCCAGTGAACCGCGCGGTCGTCAGCACCGGAGCCCCCCGCGTCACACACAATGCTGCCGCAGGGGACCCTGCCGCCAACATTCGGCCGGGGAGAGCCTCCTTGAGGGAAGATGGGAGGGAGGTGGACCACCATCTCACTAGTAACAGCCTCAGGGAGAAAAGGAGAGACAGCCGTTTGGCCTATATGGGCTCTAGGCTTCTGCCCAGAGGTCAGTACGATCGTTTAGGGTCTTGACCAGAAATCAGTTTAATTCCAGGTGTCTCCCGGGCACCTCCTGATCTTCATGAGTCAATAACCAGCTCAGTTAAGGAGCCAGAGGATGGTGATTAGCGAAGGGATGGCGTCCCGGTTTCCGAGTGGGTGAGGAATGTGAGTCATGGGGTGTGTACCTCCTGCTGCCATCTCACCCCTCGAAAGGTGTCCGAGCCTGCCCGCGTGGAATGACCACTCTGAGGGCCCCGGGTGGGCCTCTCGCGGACTCAGACCGGTGTTGGCTGCCGGTGAGCAAAGGGGGAAAGAAAGCCGCTCACCTGGGACAACACTCGTGCTCTCACCTAGAAACCGATCGGGCCTTGGTTGACCCAGGAGCCCCACCGGGTTTAATGTGTAACCTTGGAGCCATCAGGGGAGGCAAAGCAAACACCCGAACCTCTCAGCCCCTGGGTATCTGGCGCCTCTGGTTTCTGGCTTTTCGGCCCTCCCGCCGCACCTTTTCCCCCGTCCCCAACTACTACTTTCCTTTCCTCCACTACCCCCCTTCCCTTTTCTCACCCTCAACCCCTCCCTACTCCAGACCCGGCTCTTAGCTGCAGCTCGGTTCGCCAGAGTCCTGGCTGGCTCACCCTCCCCCAAAAGCAACAACCTCATTTCTTGCGGGCGGGGGTGGGGGGTGGGGCTGAAATGGGGGACTGGATCCCAAGCCACGGTGAGTACAGGCTGACATCTAGTGGCCACAAACTGCAACTGCTCCCGGCAGCTGGCCTGAAGAGTAAGGGTCACCCCAGCCGCCTGGGCAAACGGGCCGCCTGCCCCGCTGCGGCCTCCAGGGGGCCGGGGCTGTCGGAAGGAGGTTTGTCACCGCCGCCGGGCCCCAGGCGCCCCGAAGCGGGCGGGGGTGGGGGTGGGGGGGTGGCGATGGGTTAGTCCATAGTTTCTAGGCACCGACTCCGTGCGGGGGGGCGCTGTGGAGGCAGGTAAACACATCCGTCTCCAGCCAGAAACCAGGGATCCAGGGAAAGAACAGGGACGGGGCAGAGATCACGGTCCGAGGCGGGGCGGGGCGGGGCTCGGACCCGGACCCAGGACCCGGGTTTAAAAGTCGTGGGTGTGTGCGGCGGATCGTGCCAGCTCTGCCAAGAAAGGAGTTGAGGGCGGGGAGAGTTGTTGCAATACCCGCCCGAGCGGGGGAGCCGGTGGCCCCGAGGAAAGCGGGGGGCGGGTGAATGAGGCCAGGCGAGCGAGCCGGCGGTCGGGAGGCGCCAGCGAGGGGTGCTTCGGCGGCGGCGGCGCCTCGGGACGGCCCCCCAAGGCGGCGGGAGGGAGGCGGGGCGCGGTAGGCCCTCCGGGAACAGGGGCTCGCGCCCTCCGCTCCGGAAAGGCGCCGGAGGGGCGGGGGCAGGCGGGCGGGGCGGGGCGGGGGCGCGGGCGGTTAGGGGCGGAGGCAGAGGCCCGCGGGGAGGGGACGGGAGGAGCGGAGGGGCCTAGAGGGCTCCGAGAACAACTGTGAGGCTGCCGGCCGGCAGGAGAGGCGCCCGGGGAGGACTGGCCCGAGAGGGAGCCCGTTCCCCAACAGCCCGAGGAGGCCGCCTAGAGGGCGGACAGACCGACGCCGGGGAGGGCCAGCATGCTCCCACTGCTGCACCCCGCCCTGCTGCTGCTCCTGGGCGCCACGCTGACCTTCCGGGCGCTCCGGCGCGCGCTCTGCCGCCTGCCCCTGCCCGCGCACGTGCGCGCCGACCCCCTGCGCACCTGGCGCTGGCACAACCTGCTGGTCTCGTTCGCCCACTCCATCGTGTCGGGGATCTGGGCTCTGCTGTGGTGAGTGGAGGGCCGCGAGGGGGGAGTGAAGGTGACTAGGGGATCCCGCGTTACTTTCCCCATCCTTCACCGGCGGGCTGAGGCCACGCAGTCTCACATGATCCCGTCTGGAAAGCTGTCCAATCCGGAGCCGCAGCGGCCCCAGGGGAAGGGGTTGTCACCTGGGAAAGGGAGACGCCTGGGTTTCAGCCAAGCCCCTCCTTGCTCCCCAGTTAATAGAAGCGAGCCCGGACTCCTCCGGGAGACTGTCAAGTTGAAGGTCCCTGGGAATGGGGAGATGAGCACCTGCCTTCTTCCCTCCCTTTCAGTGTATGGCAAACCCCCGAGATGCTGGTAGAGATTGAGATGGCTTGGTCGCTATCTGGCTATCTGCTCGTTTGCTTCTCCGCAGGTAAGCCTTACCCAGTAAACATTTCACTAGGTGGGGGAACAGGGAGCTTTTTATAATCCCCTTCATGACTTTCCCCCCATCCCTCTGCTAGGTTATTTCATTCACGACACGGTGGACATCGTGGTCAGTGGCCAGGCTCGAGCTTCTTGGGAATACCTGGTCCATCATGTCATGGTGAGAAACGGGTGTGGCATAGCCCTGGCGCTAGCAACTTCAGTCTCAGACCTGCCCATCAACTCCATCTTCCCATGTTGGGATGCTAATCTGTGTCCTTGGTTCACTATGAAGCCCGCAAACCCTAACTTCATCTAGTACCTCAAACACTATAAACTAGTGACCAAAACTTAATCATGTTGAATTCACTGTAAAGTATATCAGAAGCAAATAGGGGAAGACTTCCCAGTCCTCAGATAGCTGAAGTCTTGACATGTATTTCCTAACTTGTTCTCTTTGCCTTCTAGGCCATGGGTGCCTTCATATCTGGCATCTTTTTGGGCCGCTTTGTAGGTGGGGGTGTCCTGACACTGCTGGTAGAGGTCAGCAATATCTTCCTCACCATTCGCATGATGATGAAGATCAACAATGCCCAGCATCTCCTCCTCTACAAGATCAATAAGTATGTCAACTTGGTCATGTACTTCCTCTTCCGCCTGGCCCCTCAGGCCTACCTCACCTACTTCTTCCTGCAATATGTGGGTCAGAGGAGCCTGGGCACCTTCCTGCTGGGTATCCTGATCATGCTGGACATCATGATCCTCATCTACTTTTCCCGCCTCCTCCGCTCGGACTTCTGCCCCGAACGTCTGCCCAGCCCACAACACAAAGACAAGTTCTTGACGGAGTGAGGGGCAGAGCTTGGACTTGAGGCAAGGACAGCAAAGAGCCACGAACAGCCTCATGTATAAACTGAGATGAGCCCCAGTCCTGGGACATCCAGCCTCTCCACCTTTCAAGTTTGAGTCCACTATTGAAAACACTAATGAAAGCACTTCTCTGAAGTCCTTGTCCTTTCTTGGGCAAGGGGTGAGGGAAGCAGACAGACCGGTTGGACATGGTAGATGGGTGTGGGGACAGTGCTACCCAAAAGCCAGTGGACCCATATTGCCCTGAAGTGGATGATGATGAAAACTCTGGGTACTGGTTTCATTCAAAGACTTCTTCCAGTGATAAAGGAAGGGGTTCTTATAAAACTTCTTGTTGTTTGCTTACTCCTATGACACAGGGAAGTTCTATTGTAGTTGTGCAAATATCTACTAGCTGAGCTACAACCGTCAATGTTATAACAAGTATGGTGAAGTGCTAAATGTTTCAACAGGGTAAAGAGGCCAAGTCTTGCTCAAACTCTATTTAGTGTTTGCCCAGCCCAAACAGAAATCAACATAAACAATACAGTGTAAAATTTTTATATTTAGAATTAGGCAGCTGGACTCAGTTTAGATGATTCCAATCTGAAAAACAAAAAGGAGTTTTGTTACTGGAAGTTGAAATGTGAAGATTAAGCTAGAATGTCATGATTAAGAAACAAAACATGGGCTTAGGGTAGGACCTATTAAGGAGAAGGGTGCAGTCAGTCAGTTAAGACTAATCAGCAAAAGTCAGGCTTTGGTCGCTAACAAGACACATCATTTGCACCCAGGGGGGTGGGGTGTTGAGTTTTGTGGCAAAGGAAGCTTACTTTGTTGGCAACATCCAAAGCATCATAGTCAGGAGCCAGTCGAACATATGCCTTCTTCTCGCCATCAGGCCTAGGGTGGAAAGGGCAGCCTTAGTCCCTGCTGTCCTCACTGGCCCTATACCCTCCACCCGCCTTCCAGGGCACTGAGTCCCTTTGTTCATGTCATTCTTTTGCCAGGAGTGGTTTGTCTATCATCTGCACATAGGAAGCAAGGGAAGCCACTAGGCTACAAACAAAGCCAATTCCCTTTTATGGGAAACACCACTGGACATTCAGATCCAGATAAGCTGACATAAATTTTCTCTTACTCTAGGGCCTGTCTAGAGGCAGGAATCAGGAAAATGAGTGTCAACCCCATAAATCAAGTCCTATAGGCAGGACAAGCTATTGATTCCTCAAAGTCCACACTCCATACAAAGGACCATAATTACAGCAGGGGCTGCTCAACCCTGACCCCAAAGCAGCATCAAGGAATTTCATGCTGTTCAGGTTTCCTCGGCTTCTGAGAAGCCCCACTCACCTGATCAGGGTGTTGACCTTGGCCACATCAATGTCATAGAGCTTCTTCACAGCCTGTTTGATCTGGTGCTTGTTGGCCTTGACATCCACAATGAACACAAGTGTATTATTGTCTTCTATCTTCTTCATGGCTGACTCAGTAGTCAGGGGGAACTTGATGATGGCATAGTGGTCAAGCCTGGGGGAGGGAAAATGGGGTCACCTGGCCTGAGCCCAGTTTAAGAATGAGCCCGCATTTGGAGCCCAGGTGCATCAGATGATGAGTAGCAATCATTTCTGTCAGACTTTGGTCGCTGCACATTATCATCATCTGCACCCTGAAATCTAGACCTGGAGCCTCCGCCTGAGAGCAAAACCAGGAGCTCTTTCACCTGCAGGCTTTCATCCTTTAAGTGATTAAATCACCCAAGTCCCCAAACCCCTTCATTCTTTATTTGACCTCGACATTTCTGAATAAAATTTAAGACCTGAGAAGTTAAAACCAAAAAGCACAAAGCTAGAATACAGCATCTTGAAACTCAGGTTAGAATTCCAAAGAATGTTGGAATTCACTACGAAGCTGGGGAGGCCAGCCAGCCATCCATTTTTGAGAGCAACTTACCCTTACAGCAGTTTCCCCTGACATTCAGATAAGCAAGGCGCTGTTCACTTTAACACTACTATCCCATTTTGAAGCTACCCTAAATTCTAGGTCCAAATGGGGGTAAAAAGCCTGTCAAGTGTTTCCTCTACAGCTGGACCCAAACCACTCCCCTACCTTTTTCTCTGGAAGCAGTGGGAGGAGCAGAAACCCATCAGTTTCTACCACCTTGGTTCTACTCTAATTGGTGGTTCCTAAGGTCAGTTATTAACAGCAGCACTCCCCAACCATTACCTGAGTGTAAACATCTGAGTGAATGAAAAGGTGTTTCCATACACTGCTGCAGGCCCTCATGGTCCAATACGAATGAATGAACCTCGCTATAAACCTAGAATCACCACACATCCTCACCTTCAAGGACTCTTCCCTAAAAAGCAATAGGTGCTATGAGGGATGAATTAAATCTGGAACTCCAAACAACGCAAGTCCTATTTTATATTTCCAAGAAAGTGGACTTTAAACCTCTAGCATATAAAGTGATTATGAACCTAACAACTAATTCCTGCCAATGGTATAAAAAGTCTCTTCTTGTTCTTTAAGGCAGTAATCTCCCCACAACCCTATCAACAAGTACCTCAACATGTTTTGAAGAAGCCATGTTCTAAGTTTGGTCAACTTCACATCCGAACATCTTTTCAAGAGGATGGCCAGTGCCCTTCCCTTCCCCTGCTCCCCAGGTGCATTACCTTTGCCTTTCTCTCTCTCTCTCACCCCCCTAAGCTCCAAGGGCCTTTCTGTCTCTGCCACCAAGTTGTTTCCTGAGCTTACACTGCCCAGCTAGTCCACTTCTATTACCTATGTAACTTTCTAAATAAACTTTCTCTTATAATGGGGGCAGGAGGGAGTGGCAATACTGACTTGTTTCTCCTGGGTGCGCTCTTCCGAGGATATTTAGGTTGCCTCCGGAGCCTTAGTGTCTTTGGCCGTCGGAAGGTGGGTGACGTGCGGATCTTCTTTTTTTTGTGGCTGTGGACGCCTTTCAACACTGCTTTCTTTGCCTTCAAAGCCTTTGCTTTGGCTTCGGCTTTGGGAGGGGCAGGGGCTGAGAAAAGAGAATGAGGGATTCAGAAATCGGATCACTTCCGGCCTAAAGGACGGTAGCGGGCGCGCCAAGCCACATGTGCATCAGTGGTTCCTTTGAGGAGACATCACAAGTCTCAGCTTAAAAGTTTTTCCATCATATGCACAGTTATTGGGGCAAAGTTGGAGTAACTCCATGGAACGCGTGCTAGGAGTTTTACGTAGAACATCTCACAGCCACCCCGGGAGGGTATAGAGCCGTATGTAATAAGAGTAAAAAAAAGTAAAGTCAGGAAAGTTGAGAGCACTGATTCCTTACAGGTCTGGAGACATGGAGTGGCGGCCTGTGGGTGCGTGAAGTCCCCACAGTGGCTGTCGGCTCCCTCCCCAACCCCCTTCGGCTGGAGCCCAGCCCATGTGGCTGGGCCCACGCGCGCCGTAGCGTGGCCGGAACGAAACGGGAAGAGCAGCTCCAGAGCTGACACCCCAAGTCTTAGCACAGCCACCGTCCTTTCAGTTTGTTCACCCTGCGGGGGCCCCAGGCCAGCCAGTACTGTTCCTCCCCAACCCCACCACACACCTTCCTTCTTCGCTTTCGGCGCCATCTTCGTGAAAAGGGTTTACGAGACTTACTCTCACGGGCTTATAGAGCTAAGTATCACCGAAACCTCGCGATGTTTTCTACTTAAAGCTGATTGGATAATCTGTAGCGCGGCGCCCTCTGGGAATAGTAGTTAGGTTTAATTTTCTCAAGAGGGACTAAGCATGCGCCATCCCGCCCTTCGTAGGACCTATGCTTCTTGGGAGTTGTAGTTTATTTATCTGCTGTGGCGGTTGGATGGTGTAGCGGACAGTCTGGCCCTGAGCGCTTCCCATCTTCAGGGAAAAGGATTGCAAGTTCCAGGAGACAGTAGCACTGCAAACTGTAATGCATATAATTAGGTTAGCTCAGGGAGAGTGAAGCAAAGTTCTAGAACGTTTAGAGCAGGATTTGTCAGGCCCAACTCCCTCAAACAACATTGTGTAAATTGAGGTCCCGAGAGGATACGTAGCTTATAAATAATGGTGATTTGGTGGCAAAAAAAATAAAAATAAAAATCGAGTCAAGCAGAGGGGAGGAGAAAAGTCCCAGAGGACGTAGAAGGTGGCAACATCTCCTCTCTTTACCCATGACAGTGTGGGTTCATGTGTTTTCCTGACAAGACTCTTGGAGAAATTCCAGCAATATTCCAAACACCCAGCGCACAGGCTTCAGCTTTCGCTAATTCTTCTTGGGAATAATCCCGTTCACAATTCCTTCCCTTTAAGCAGTCTTCCCTTTCGTGCCCATGGTTGCATCCTCAGATTCAGTTCCAGGACACAGAGCAAAGTTTAGTAAAGCTCCAGCTTGCTTCTCTGAGGGTCGCTGTCCTCCTGCCTTCACCTTTCCCTTTCTGTCGTCTCTCTGGCCTCTGGGTACCTGACTTCCCCGCTGACGGTGAGATCTGCTGTGCGTTACCCGGTTCTGTCTCCCACAACTGCAAAATGCAAACGTGGTTCTTGGGACGATTCCAAAGGGGATCGGCGTGAAGAACGCCCCTACCAGAGGGGAGTCCTCGTGTTCTGGAGCAGTGACCTCCCCAAAGGGCGGAGTTCCCGGCCCATCTAGCCCTCTTTTCTCCTCCGTCAAGGCTGGCGGCTTGGTCTTCAGCCTCCGCACCCCTCAGTCTACACCGGGGCCTTCGAGGAAAAGACGCCTCACCTCGGACGTCTCTCTCCCCAAGGTGGGCACCCAGCTCCGCCCCTGGCACCCCTGGTACGCTCCCCCCGCTCCCCTCCCGGGGCTGAAGGGCGAGCGGGGGCAGACTCTATGAGTCACGTCCCGGGCCTGCAGTCGAGGAGGGAAGCACCGCCTCTCCTTGGGCCCCTTCTCTCCCCCTCACCCCTCCTCCCGGCGCCGCCAGATGCTGCGCAGCAGCCACCGATCCCCCATCACAGGTTCGGCTGGGTAAGGGGCCCCGGGGCGGCGCAGCCCCCACACAGGTGCCGGGCAGAGACACCTAGGCCGGGGGTCCCTATCTGGGCAGGTTCCAGCATGTGTGGGGGCGGCCTGGGGCCCCGATGGGGCGTCTGGCGGGGCAGCCTGAGCCAGGGCAGTGCCGCCTGGAGGAGAGGATGGGGAGCCCCGGGCGGGGTGCGAGGCCGGAGCGGCGGGAGAGGGGCTGGGGGCGGCCCTTCTCCAGGAATTTCCGGGGATCGGGTTACAGCGCCGGCGGAGGGGGGGCGGCGCGGGACGCGGGGCCCTGCGGCGGCGGACCGGGCCCCCCGCCCCCGCTCCCGCCGCTCTCGGACTTCGCGTCGCGGTCCCTGCCCGCCCTGACCCCGGGCGGTGAGGCCGCCCCAGCCCCGGGCTGCTCGGTTATGGTGGGGCCGCCTCCGCCCCGAGCTGTCGTCGGGTCTCCGAGGCCTCGGGTGATTGTGGGGAGTATCCGGCCCCGGGTGATCGTAGGGTCTGCGCGGGCCCGGGATCCCCCGGACGGGACTCCCCGCCCCCCTCTGGCGGCGGCCGAGGGCTCTCCCCGCCCCCGAGTGGTCTTCGGGACGCCCCGGGCCCGGGTGATCGTGGGCTCGCCGCAGTCCCGGGCGACCGACCCGTCCCCGTGGCCCGCAGCGCCCGGGGCGTCCCCGAGGCCGCGGGCGGCTCCCGCAGGCTCCCCGTGGCCCCGAGTCATCGTCGGGACTCCGCGGTCGCGGGTGATCGTCGGGTCTCCCCGGGCCCGGGCCGCCGGGGCGGACCAGGCCTCCGCGCCTTCCCGGGACGCCCCCGCAGGCCGCAGGCAGGATGAACCTTCTGGCGCCCGTGCGGAGGGACCGCGTCCTGGCGGAGCTGCCCCAGGTAGGCGCGGCCCCGTGGGGCATCGCTGCGCGGCGTGTGGGCGGGAGGAGCGGCCGGGCCCGTTAGCGCTGGCCCGGCCCCGCCGCCCAGCCGGGCCCGCGGCTCCTGGGTGGTCCCCGCCCCACCCCCAGCCCCGGGCGGGAGGCCGCGGGCCGGGGGCCAGGCCGGGGTGAACCTCCTCCTCCTCCCTCCTCCTCCTCCTCCCTCCTCCTCCTCCCTCCCCGCAGTACCTGAGGAAGGAGGCCGCTCTGCACACGCGCAGAGACTTCCACCCCCGGGTCACCTGCGCCTGCCAGGAGCACCGGACCGGCACCGTGGGGTGAGTTGGAGAGAGACCCCAAAATAAAGACAGCAAGTCCCAGGACACTTTGTAGTCAAAGCAATGGGGCTCCATTTGCTCGCTCTACCAGCTCTATGGTTGGTTATTCCCTTCATTTCCAGCAGGACTGTTGGCCGGAAAGGTGACGGTTCAATTCTGACACAGAGAAGGGGGTGGTCCTCAGTTCACCTTCCACAAACCACCCATCTGAGCCCCAGGTCCAAGGCGGGGGCTGTGCCTACACCTATGAGTCCACCTGTGGGAATAAAAGGGAATACTAACAGCGGTTGCCACTATTTTTTTAAAAATATCTTCTTACTGATTTTGGAGAAGAAGGAAGAGGCGGAGCTAGAAACATCAATGATGAGAGAGAATCACCGATTGGCAGCCCCCTGCACCTTGCATCCCCTCACTAGGGATTGAGCCCACAACCCCAACCTGGGCTCAGGCCGGCATATTACCCACTGAACCAAACCGGCCAGGGAAATAATTGCCACTATTAATATAGTAGTGACTGTGTGCCAGGAAGTGTGTTAAATACTGTTACTTTAAAAAAAAATAATATATTTTATTGATTTTTTTACAGTGAGGAAGGGAGAGGGAGAGAGAGTTAGAAACATCGATGAGAGAGAAACATCGATCAGCTGCCCTGCACACCCCCCACCAGGGACATGCCTGCAACCAACGCACATGCCCCTGACGGGAATCGAACCTGGGACCTTTCAGTGGGACCTTTCAGTCCACAGGCCGACACTCTATCCACTGAGCCAAACCGGTTTCGGCTGGATACTGTTACTTTTATTAAATGAAAAACATCATCATTTTTAAAGATGTATCCTGGCCGGGACCGGTTTGGCTCAATGGATAGAGTGTCGGCCTGTGGATTGAAAGGTCCCGGGTTCGATTCCGGTTGAGGGCATGTATAATACCTTGGTTGCGGGCACATCCCCAGTAGGGGGTGTGCAAGAGGCAGCTGGTCGATGATTCTCTCTCATTGATGTTTCTAACTCTCTATCCCTCTCTCTTCCTCTCTGTGAAAAATCAATAAAATATATATTTTTTAAAAATAATAAATAAATAAAGATGTACCCTGATTTCAGAGATGTACCCTGATTAAAATGTATGTGTGTGGTGTGTGTGTGTGGGAGGCATGTTTTAGAATATAGAACATTTATCTCATTTTAACAACAACCCAATAAAATATGTTCTTTTTTTTAATTTTATCAAACTCATTGGGGTGATATTAGTCAACATGGACATAAGGTTTTAGGTGTGGGTTTCTATGTTACAAGATCCGTGTATCATACCATCTGTTCACTACCCAAAGGAAATATATTCTAAATCTCCACTTAAATGTTGAAACTGAGAGAGACTAAGTAATTTGTCCTAAGGTACGCAGCTAGCAAGTGTGAGAGCTGGGATTCAAGTATATGTCTTTTTTATACGAAAGCACAACACACTCCTAGCCAGCACATCTGTCCAGAAAGCTGCCCAGGAGGCTGGTGCCTGGCAATGGCCTGGGTGTGTCTATCCTGGCAGACCTCTTCGGTTGCACTGGGACTCCCTTGGGTGAAAGACCTAGTGCCCATGCCTCTCGCCGCCCCTTGTGTCCAGCAGGTTTAAGATCTCCAAGGTCATTGTGGTGGGGGACCTGTCGGTGGGGAAGACTTGTCTCATTAACAGGTAAGGGGGTGCTGGAGCTGAACTGGGTTGGGCTGGGCAGGGAAAGGCCAAGGCTAGCCAGATGGGCTGGGCTAAGGACCAGAGCATCCGGTGCCCCCTCAGGTTCTGCAAAGACACCTTTGATAAGAACTACAAGGCCACCATTGGAGTGGACTTTGAGATGGAACGATTTGAGGTGTTGGGCATCCCCTTCAGTCTGCAGCTGTAAGTGCTCCTTCCTCTCTCCCTCTTCCAGCCATTTCTTCCTCTGGCACTTACACCCGCCCTATCCCCTACCCCCATCCCTCTGTTTCACCGCTCCTCCCTCCTAGCTGGGATACCGCTGGACAGGAGAGATTCAAATGCATTGCATCAACCTACTACCGAGGGGCTCAAGGTGAGGGCCTGGGTGAGGTGGGGTAGGTGGCTGCCTCTGACTTAGAGCGGGGGGAATGAGCCAGGCGTGTCTCCCTGTCAACCTGGGACTGCCTCTGCCCCTCTTCCAGCCATCATCATTGTCTTCAACCTGAATGATGTGGCCTCCCTGGAACATACCAAGTACGTGGGGTGCTGACATATATGGGGGAGGGAGACACTGAGAAGAGAGGATTTCAAGAGGAGGAAGGAGGGGTGGTCAGGGGCATGGTAGGGAAGGCAAGAACACATCTAGGAGCGGAGGATAGTTGAGCACCTGAGTGACCGGGGCAGGAGCCTGCCCTCCTCATCTGCTGTCCACCATCTGTGGCAGGCAGTGGCTGGCGGACGCACTCAAGGAGAACGACCCTTCCAGCGTGCTTCTCTTCCTTGTGGGTTCCAAGAAGGACCTGAGTGTGAGTGTGCCAGAGGGGGACCTTCCCGTCTCAGTGAGGGAGCCCTCCCCCCCTGACCTTGACTCCCCTGCAGACGCCCGCTCAGTATGTGCTGATGGAGAGAGACGCGCTCAAGGTGGCCCAAGAGATGAAGGCCGAGTACTGGGCAGTCTCGTCGCTCACGGGTGAGGAAGAGGGCGTTAGGCCTGCTGTGTGGCGTCCCTGCTTCCCTGGCCTCTCACCCCTACACCCCCAGCCGCGCCAGGGACCCCAGGCCGGAAGGGCCCCTGAGCACCCCTCTCCCTTGTGTCAGGTGAAAATGTCCGGGAATTCTTTTTCCGCGTGGCGGCACTGACCTTCGAGGCCAACGTGCTGGCTGAGCTGGAGAGATCAGGGGCCCGGCGCATTGGGGATGTCGTCCGTGAGTTCCCGCCTGGATGAGGGTGGCACAAAGCGTGGGGAACCTGCCCTCCCTGCTTCACTTACTCCTCACTCTTCTTCAGGCATCAACAGTGATGATAACAACCTCTACCTGACTGCCAGCAAGAAGAAGCCCCCATGTTGCTTGTGAGGGGCTGCCTAGCCCCAGGGCACTGTGCCATCTCGACTCGCCTGGAGCTCTGTCCCTGGACAGCTGCACTGACTGTTACCCCAAACCAAAGAGCTGCCCGTTGGTGGCAGTACCCCCAGAGGGGTAGTTGGGACCATGCTAGTCACTTCCTGCCCCTGGGCACCGTACCAAAGACTGGATGCCCCTTGATCCAGCGACTCTCCAGGGTGCCCGGTGGTGGGAGGTGGTGCCTGCCGCTTCTGCTCAACATGCTGGGCCTTCGGGTAGGAGGATGCTTAGTGGTTCCAGCCTCTACTGTGCCTTATGCATTAAAGTCTCTGTTATCAGCAGCCTGGGGGTGAAGTCCTTTGTTGGGACGAGGGCAGGGCTGTCTGGTGATCTTGGGACTGGAGCCTCCTGCCTGGATGCTGGATGTCTCTGGCCCCTGGGCAAGCCTCAGACAGGCGGGGAGCTCAGGGACCATGTTTGGGGGAGTGAGGGGCTGCACTCTCACGGGTGAGATCTGAATTGTTGGCTTTGAGAGCCCTTTCCTTTCATCCTTTCCCCCAAAATGTGTCCTCCTACTTGGTGCTTATACCCAAATTTCCACCATTGTATAATATTCTTTCCTTCCTCCCTTCCTTTCTTCCTTTTCTTCTTCTTTTGCCTCTTCCTGTCTTCCCTTTTATTTATTTTGTTAATCCTCACCCGAGGATATTTCTCCATTGATTTATAGAGAAAGTGGAAAGGCGGGGGGGGGGGGGGGGGGATAAAGAGAAACATCATGTAAGAGAAACATCAATTGGTTGCCTCCCCAACACATTCCCACCAGGGCCAGGATGGAGCCTACAACTGAGGTATATGCCCTTGACTGGAATCGAACCCAGAACCCCTCAATCTGAGGCCAATGTGCTGGCTGAGCTCTAACCGCCGAGGAAAACCAGCTAGGGCCCGCCTTCCCTTTATTTTTTATTTTTTTATATATTTCTTTATTGATTTCAGAGAGGAAGGGAGAGGGAGAGAGAGAAACATCAATGATGACAGAGAGTCATTGATCTGCTGCCTCCTGTATGCCTCCTACTGGGGAAGAGCCTGCAACCCGGGCATGTACTTTTGGCCAGAATCGAACCCAGGACCCTTCAGTTCATAGACTGATGCTCTATCCACTGAGCCATACTGGCTAGGGCCCACCTTCCCTTTAAAAAATACTTATCTGAGAACACAGTGAGAAGTGGATTGTGTTTTTGACACTTTTTGGATTGATCATGAGGCCCAAGGAGGTAGGGGCTGGACTATTATTCAGAAAATATGTTACCTAATACCTAATTATATTAGGGGTATAAACATAAAATTATGAGTGGTACCTTTTTACATCTAAAAGCATAACTAAAGAACTAAATGGAATAAAAAATAAAATGTGGCCCTGACTGGTTTGCTCAGTGGATAGAGCATCAGCCTGTGGAATGAGGGGTCCCAGGTTTGATTCCATGCCTGGGTTTCGGACTTGATCCTCATTGGGAGACATGCAAGAGGCAGCCAATCAATGATTCTATTCATTGATGTTTCTATCTCTCCTTCTCCCTCTCTGAAATCAATGAAGATATATTAAAAAATAAAATGTGTATTTTTCCTTCTTCAAAACCAAAGACACATACTCTACGGAGGACTTGCACTTGAATCCTTACTTGCCTCCTCTTGTGTCCTAGGACACTCATGCAGATCACTTATCCTCTGTGCCTTGCTTTCTTCATCTATAAAACAAGGCTGATAATACTGCTGAGGTTTCATGGATGAAATAAGGCACTACTAAGTACATAGGAAGAGCTCAAAAACCTCAACTAATAATTATTTACAGGAGGAGTGACCAAGAACCCGGCTCATTGTTGACACCTGACTCGGATCTATACATTATTGGAAGCATCTCAGCCGTCTGGACCAACAGTGGAGGGACACGTGGCCTGGCGCCATCCTGGGAGACCATGGGGCGTCCAGATTAGCATGCAGGTCCTGGCTCCCAGGCAGCAAGTGCTCTGTCCATTCTATGCCTGCTTTCATTCCCCGCTCCTCTGTGCTGGGAGGGTTGACTTTTTGCACACCCCCCTTTTGCCCTGGCTTCCCCATCCCCTGCTGTGCCTACAGCTGGAGGTTCTGGGCGGTGGTCCTCCCCAGTCACGTGGCTGGGTCTGGAGGAAAGTGAAGGTTGGCCTCCTGAAGAGCAGCAGCAGGAGGGGCCCTGGGTTTCTCTGGAGAAAACAAAGGTTAAATACCATCCATTCCTTTCCATCCTGTGAGGCATAACCTCACTTTGGAGCCTGAGACCAAGAAAAATTGAGGGGCGTGATGTGTGGAGTGCTGGTTATGGGGCTCTCACCTTCTTTCACACTCTCCTGGAATTGTTTTTTGTTTATCTTTGGGCCCTCATAGGACTGCACTTATCAACTCTTTCCTTGCACTGAGCCTGTAACTGTGTGTGTGTGTGTGTGTGTGTGTGTGTGTGTGTGAAGTCTGTACCACAATACTGTTGTGGAGTGTTTGTGCTGAGTAAATGTGGGGAGCAGGGGCTATGGTTCTGTCTTCTGGATAGCCTCTGTGAGGGGTGTATGCATACTGTATTAGTTTGTGTGTGGTGAGTAGATTTTGTTATGTGTGCTATATGTGTGATACAAGCATGCGCAATGTGCATGCTATCCTGAAGGGTGTGAGGGGTGTATGGTGGAGGGATGTGTGTCGTAGGTTACTATGAATACAGTGGATCCTGCTTCCAGCACTGGGCAAGCCTATGGAGACACATAAGGTTGTGTGACTGAAGTAAGACAAAGCACTAACATAGGAAGAGCTTTATACATAGGAAGAGCTCAAAACCCTTAACTATTATGATAATTTTGGGGGGAAATTGAACAAGACCCTGCCTTTTGTTAAGTTCTTTTAAAAAATTTTTTTTAAATTGATTTTTTACAGAGAGGAAAGGAGATAGAGAGTTAGAAACATCAATCAGCTGCCTCTTGCACACCCACCACTGGGGATGTGCCCGCAACCAAGGTACATGCCCTTGGCCGGAATCGAACCTGGGACCTTTCAGTCTGCAGGCTGATGCTCTATCCACTGAGCCAAACTGGTTTTGGCTAAGATCTTTTTAAAAATATATATATATTTTGTTGATTTTTTTTACAGAGAGGAAGAGAGAGGGATAGAGTTAGAAACATCGATGAGAGAGAAACATTGATTAGCTGCCTCCTGCACACCTACTTGGGATGTGCCCTCAACCAAGGTACATGTCCTTGGCCGGAATCGAACCTGGGACCTTTCAGTCCGAAGGCCGATGCTCTATCCAGTGAGCCAAACCGGTTTCGGCTGTTAAGATCTTTATTGAGGGAAAAAAAAAAAGATCTTTATTGGGCTGCTAGTATTCCTCTGGGTCTGGGTGCCTCATGGGGGCTGGAGGGGAATACTGGTAAGAAGCTCTGGCGGTGGGCGCCACCTTGGGGCTGGGATCGGCCTCCAGCCCTCATCCGAGGACTCTGCTGGCGGAGAGAGGGCAGTGATGGGCCTTCCGCCAGGCCTGGAGGAGCGCGAGAGAGCCTGGAGGGCGGGTTGGAGGGTGGAAGCGGGCCGCCCTGGCCGCGGGGAGGGCGTCACGTGGTAGATTGGGGGCGGAGCTGAGGGCCGGCGGGGTTCGAAGGGACTGGGAGGGGCCGGGAGCGGAGCGAAGTGTGAAGGCGGGAGAATGGATGGGGCGGGGCCAGGGGCGGGGCCAAAGTCTGGGTAGGGGGTAGGAAACAATAAGAGCTGGGGGTAGGTCTGGAGAGGAACTAGGATGGGCCAGAGCGGCCTAGCTAAGGTTTGGGCCTGAGGTGAAAGGTGAGGTGCTGAGGTGAAAGTGGAACCCAGAGGGAAGGAAGAGCCTGGGAGGCGCTGGGTGCCTGCCCCGGATGAAGAGCGTGGCTGAAGCTTAGACTTGGGCTGAGGAGACACCGCAGCTGAGAACGGGGCTGGGACAGGGGGCGGCGGGGTGGCGCCAGCATGAGGCAGAGCTAAGGGGCCGCGCTGAGATTGGGGTTGAAGCCAAGCCGAGGTTCAGGTTTGGACTTACGCGGGGCAGAGCCTTGTAGAGGGGAAGAACCGGGCCGAGAGCGATGTGGATGAGGACGACAATGACCATTGAAAGGTGGACTAAGGAAAAGACTGAGGACAATGCCAGCTTCTGGGATGAGAGCAGCCTTGGTAAGGCGAGGGCGGGGCAGAGGATTAGGGGAGGGCTCCGACCCGCGTCCGAGGCCGAAGGACCCACCGAAGGACCCTGTGAGCCAGGCAAAGGAGGCGGGGTCAAGGGCAGGCGGGGGCGGGGCCAGCGCCTGGGGGCGGGCTCACGGCGAGCCGCGGGCCAATGGTGGAGGACTGGCGTACCGAGGGCCTGCGAATGAGCTCCGGGTCTGGCGGGAGCGGGAGCTGTGACTCCTGTCCGTATGGCCAGGAGCCTTCGCTCGGCAGCAGCCCGGAGCCCGGGCAGTAGCCCGATTAGTGCGGGGCCCGGCTGGAGCCCTCGGCCCAGCGTCCACCCTGTCGCCGGGGCTTGGGAGGACGGTTCTATTGACTCTGAGGGCACGGAACCTGGTGCTCCGAGCGTGACATCACAATCGCGGACAAACGTGGGCGGGGCCGGGGTGGCGTTGCCTAGGAGACGCGTGCACGCTTGGGCGTGCGCTGCTCCCTCCTCTTCCCTCCTTCCCTTCCTTGTTATTTCCCCCCCCACCTTTCTTTTTCCCTCTCGCCTTCCCTCCCTACCTCCCTCATTCATCTGCTCCAGCGTCGAACCTGGAATCCCACGGGAGCTCCTCGCCCGCAGGACGAGGAGGATTTTGTACAAATGAGCATCACCTGTGAGTTTTGAGAGGCTTCTGTACAAATGAACATCTCCTGTGAGTTTTGAGTTAGGTCTCTGCTCCCTGATTAATGCCTTATGGAGAAGGAGGACACACACCTCCCTCTTTCTTTTAAGTCATTACCCTCATTCATTATGAAGTCCCCCCTCCCAACCCCATGTCTAACCTCAATCACTTCGGCTGCAGGAGCTTGGACCCTTGCTTCAGTGGGCGCTCCCTCGTTCTGCCTGTGAAACTAGAGAGCAGATTGCCTCCCTCAGATGTGAGGAGAGTTACTAAGTCCCACCCCTTGGCAAACACGATTGTCAGGATTTAGAGGAAGTTAGTGGAACCTGCATATAGACTTTTTTAAAAAACACATTGAATACAGTAGTAATTAAGAAAATTTGCCGAAACCGGTTTGGCTCAGTGGTGGAGCGTCGGTCTGTGGACTGAAAGGTCCCAGGTTCGATTCCGGTCAAGGGCATGTACCTTGGTTGTCGGCACATCCCCGGTGGGGGGTGTGCAGGAGGCAGCTGGTCGATGTTTCTCTCATCGACGTTTCTAGCTCTCCATCTCTCTCCCTTCCTCTCTGTAAAATATCAAAATATATTTAAAAAAACAAAAAAACAAAATTTTTTATGGATTTCAGAGGGAGAGGGAGATAGAAACATTAACGATGAGAGAGAATCATTGAATAGCTGCCTCCTGCACACCCCCTACCGAGGATGAGTCCTAACCCAGGCATGTGCTCTGAAGGGGAATGACCTTTTGGTTCATAAGTTCATGCTCACCCAGTGAGCCACACTGGCTAGGCTCATGTATTTTTTTTTTCAATCTACCAATATTTACTGAGAATTTCCTTTTTATTTTAATTTTTAATTTTTTTTTACAAAGAGGAAGGGAGAGGGATAGAGTTAAGAAACGTCAATCAGCTGACTCCTGCACACCTCCTACTGGGGACGTGCCCACAACCAAGGTACATGCCCTTGACCAGAATTGAACCTGGTACCCTTTAGTCCACAGGCCGATGCTCTATCCACTGAGCCAAACCAGTTAGGGCTTTCTTTTTCTTTAAATCCTCATGCAAGGATATTTTATTGATTTTATTTTAGAGAAAGAGGAAGAGAGAGAGCAAGAGGGAAATATCGATAGGAGGGAGAAATACTGATTTATTGTTCCACGTATTTATGCATTAATTGGTTGACTTTTGCTGTGCCCTGACCAGGGATGGATCCAAAAATTTGGCATATCAGGATAATTCTCTAATCAACTGAGCTACCCAGCTAGGGCTTACTGAGTGCTTTCTAGATCCCAGGATCTGTAGAAGCAGAAACAGATGAAAAACGGGTCTTGTGCTCAATTTGCCATAAGTGCAGAGGTACCCTGGCAGGGTAAAGGGGTACAAGACATGTGTGACCAATTCTACTTTGATAGATAACATTGTTCTTTCCAAGCTGAGCAGGTATTTCTGGGAGGCAGGAGAGAAGGAATGGAGAAAGGGATGGATGAGTGGGAGGAGCTGATAACTGAGAAATGAACCAGGACCCTGGTTCTGGGGTGGGGACAAGATAAGGACATCATCTTGAAGGCAGTAGAATGCTATTAAAGAAGAGGAACATGGTAGACCAGTTGGCACCTAGAAACTCACTTTGGCTGCATTGTGAGGACTGTATGAGGATAATGAGGCAGGAGGTGGGAGGCCGCAGGAGGCTGCTGCAGTTGTCTTGGTGAGAGATAATGAGGGTGTGAACCAAGTCAGAGGTAGATGTGGGAACAGAAAGGCAAGACAAGACTTGGTCATCAAGTTAGTATAGAAGTGAGGGAGAGGGTGACTCTTAGATTTCTAGCTGTGGTGTCTATTGCTCTCTGAAGTGGAAGATATAAGAGGGAGTGGCTCATGGAGTGTAGGAAGAAGATGGTAGGTTCATGTGGGATATGTTGGTCTAAGATGTTTGGGAACATCCAAGAAGATATTGGCACCTGCTCAGCAGAGCAGTCTGGATTGGAGACCCATCCAGTGTTGTGTTATTTTATCGGTGGATGCTGAAACCATGGAGGTGGATGACATTATCCAAGACAAGTACTCTGAGAAGTAGAGTAAAACAGAAACCTGGTGATCATCAATTTAAGGGGTACAGTAGAGGAGTTAGGCAAGAACTAAAGAGCTTGTCAGAGAAAAAAGAGGAATGAGGTTTGCATGGAAGTCGAAGGAATAGAGCATACAGAAGAGATTCACTGGTTAGCAGGGTCAAGTGAGATAAGACAAAAAGAAGGCCACGCCAGGTGTGGCTATTGGGAAATTGTCTTGGGCTAATCCCATAGAGGGGTGGGGAGGCTGCCACTTGTAGGTGGCTGGAATAGAGGCAGAGGTGAAGATTCTGAGCTCACTGAAGGTAAGGTCTGTGCCTCCTCTGGTGTCTAGTAAAGCTACTCAACATGTCTGTTAAATGAGTAGACAAACTTGGATTGAAAAGGAAGAGGAGTGGGATATAGAGGGAGAAATAGGGTTCATAGAGCTTTGTTTAAAGTTGTTCATAGTCTATAGGGGGAAACAAACCATTAAATTAGGAGATCAAATTCTGGCTGGGACCTAGAGTTCAGGTGCCTTGGGCAGGAGGAAGGGACGCTTCCCCAGGCTGGAGGGGAGCTGACGAGGGTGGGAGCAGCCACAGATAAGGCTGGTGAAATGATCCGCGGGAAGGAACGGCAGCAGGAAAGGAGTTTCCAGGGAAGTGCTGCGGAAAGCAGGAGGAGCTGACCAGGGAACTGTAAAAAGATGAGCAAGTGCCACTGAAGGCTCACTTTAAGTCCCCAAGTTATCAGCTTCCTTTTTAAAAAATATATTTTTATTAATTTCAGAGAGGAAAGGAGAGGGAGAATGAGAAAGAAACACCAATGATGAGATAGGATTACTGTATCCTGCATGCCCCCACCCTGAGGATCAAACCCACAACCTGGACATATGCCCTGACCGGGAATAGAACGGTGACCTACTGGTTCATAGGTTGATGCTCAACCACTGAGCCACCCTGGCTGGGCTCAGCTTCTTTTCTGAAGCAGAACTCAGCTCCCGATGCCCCACAGGAGAAGCTAAGCAGGCTCTCCCCTGTGGCTGTTGATGCAGCTGCTGCCCCGGTTGAAGTTCTGCTGGTGGACAACCCCTGACCCAGCTCCACACATCCCATGACAATTCCTGGAACTGTCTGTCCTTCCTTGTCTAGGTTGGCTCCCTCCTACACTTTAAAAATATATATATTTTATTGATTTTTTACAGAGAAGAAGGAAGAGAGAGAGAGAGCTAGAAACGTCAATGAGAGAGAAACATCGACCAGCTGCCTCCTGCACACCCCCTACCGGGATGTGCCCGCAACCAACGTACATGCCCCTGACCAGAATCGAACCTGGGACCTTTTAGTCCGCAGACCGACGCTCTACTACTGAGCCAAACCGGTTTCAGCTCACTCCTATTCTTTCGCCAGATTCAGCTCCTGTTAAGCTTCTTTCAAGAATCCTATCCTAATCCCAACCTACACTAAGCAGGTCAGACTCACTCAGACCACATGAGGTTGACATGCTTGCCCCTCACCCTCACTGTCTCTAGGTGCCCTTGTTCTCTGCTTCCACAGGCCTCCTTCCCACCATTTCCCTATCAGTGTCGGCATCACACCACAGTCATGAACTATCTACATACCGCCCCTGCGCCTCTTCTCAAATCCTCTCCCAGCCCCTTGAAAGCAGGGACTGTTTTTGTAAATCTGCATCTTGGATGCAGCTGGTCCCTGACACCTGTGGCATCTCAGGAAATCTTTGATGAACGAATAGCAAGGGGAGAGATGCTGCCTGTGGCCACTCTGTTCTCTCTCAGATGTTAACAGGTTACCCAGCTGGGAAAGAGGACATCTGCTGGCTGGAGTGGCGTCTAGCACTGATACATCTATCTTCTCCTCTGAAGGTGAGTCTGGGGGAATCTCTGGCCCCAGAGGTCCCACCACCCCTAATGTGGGAAAGCTGGCACCTAGTGGTAGGCAGAAGGGAGGAAAGCGTTTGGTTCTGAAGGGGTTACCCTGCAGCCCTACCCTACACCACCCCCTACTCATGCCAGAGAGGGCCCGCTTCTGGAGACCACAATCACCCCTTTGTATAACACTTATGGTGCACAAATATCTGACATTTGAACTGAGTCCTCCAACCACCACCATCCCCACTTAAAAAATTAATTTATTGATTTTTTTAGAGAGCGGGGAGGAGGAGAAACATTGATTTGTTGTTCTACTGTTCTATGCTTTCATTGGTTGCTGATGTGATTGAACCTGAAACCTTGTGCAAATCTTGGTATATCAGGACAATGCTGTAACCAACTGGCCAGGGTGCCATCACCCCCATTTTGTGGGCAGAAAAATGAAGGCTTGGAAAAGTAAAGTGACTGGTCCTTAGTAACCCACCTTGTGACAGAGCCAACACTTGGACTCATGCCTATCTGATTTCAAGGACACTTGCCACTATGCTGACCTTTGCCCCAAATGAGCAGTGCTGAAGAAAGCTGAGGGTGTGGTGGTATTCCAAAGTCCTGCCTCACGTACTTATGAAGAAAGGACACGAGAGGAGAGGAAGCAGATAGGGAGGCCACCAAATGGGTCAAGGGTATATGGGGACCTGGGACCCTCGCAGCCTGGTAGGGAGGAATGTGGGGCAAGGCTCAGACCATGCTGCTGTCTACCCATCTCTCAAGTATTTAAGGCCACCTGGCCTTACACCCCCCCCAGCCAGGGTTTTATGAGATCTTGCCCCAGTTCCTCACCCTGTAGGGGCTGGATAAAGATGCAGTCCTCCTGGCCTGTTTGGTGGGGAGTAGCCATCATGGCACCCCATGCCAGACTGCTATGGAAGTCATTGGTGTTCACCCACTTCCCCCTCCCAACCTGGGTCGTCAGAGTCCAGGGGAGACCTGCAGGGAAGGTTCCTTGTCCTGGCCTCTCTGCCTTGATGTGTGAGGTCCTGGGCACGTGGAGGCATTTCCTGGGCTTACCTTTTGGAGGGTGGCCTGGGAGAGATCCATCGGTGGGCTGGCGTCTTAGGCAGGGTCAGAGGTGAGGCAGTACAGTAGAGGCTGGGAGGCTCCAGGGTGTGTCCAGGACTTGCATTCCGTTGAGTAAAAGAGGTGGGAACCTTTCTCCAGGGCTTTCCTGTAATCCCAATTCTCACCCCAGCAGCAGCTCCCTGCTCCCTGGCAAAGCGGACTTGGTATCTGTGCTGCCCACAGGGAAAGGAGGACTCCAGTTGGGGGTGGGTGGTTCAAGTCTGTGGCTCCAAGGACTGGTGAGAGTGGAGTGGAAGTGGGAATTTGATGATTAAAGAGCAGGGAAAGAATCCAGAGCGAGCGAGGGAAAGGGGAGAGATGTGAGAAGAGTGCCTGGAGAGAGGAGGAGCCTGGAGGAGAGGAGGAAAAAGGGAAGGACCAGAGTTAGGAGAAGCAAGGGGGCATGACAGTGGTAGAATAGGCGTTAGTTCCCTCCATGTTTGAGCCACCATGCTGTGGCCATCCTTGGGGCTGGAATAGCATGAGAGGCTGCGAGGGGTCAGATGAAGCGGGGCTGGCAGTGCGCAGGGCAGGCACAGAAACTGAGGATGCTGTATTGCTTGCTCTAATCACTGGGGACTCGCAAGAGCCAGTGGAGGGCTCCAGGGAGATAGGTTCCCACAGAAGGCAGGAGAAGGGAAGAGGCAGGTGTCACAGGCAGCAAGGGGGATTTGGTGAGACATCTTCCTGGGAGTGTGATTCATGCAGTGGATTGGGGAAAGCCTAGTGCTGAGACCTGGTGACTGCGGGGCTGAATGACTACTATGAAGTGGAAACAGCTGTTTGCGGTGTGTGTGTGTGGTGAGGGGAGGAGGGGGTGGTGGCAGGTGAATTTGGTGAAGCATGTACTGAGCAGTAGAAGGAGAGACCCACAGATGTGCTGCTACCGCCACTCGTATGTGACCCAGACTCCGACCCCTCAGGCGAATTCAAGGACACTGACAGATGCTGCTGGAATCACAAGCAGTGCACTGGGCATGTCATCCACCCCTTCACCTCTGATTGTGATTGTGATCACTACAACCTGCACCTGCACTCGCTCAGCCACTGTGACTGTGACTCTAGGTAAGGACCCTCCTCCTTGGGAGATCCACAGCCCAGGAGACTCCAGGGCGGAGCCAGGTCCAAACTTTCACTGCGGTCCCCTGCTGTAGCTGACCAGGCACTGCCAGCCCAACCCCGGCTTTGTAAAGCTGGCTCTGCCCCAAGAGCAATGGGGAGGAGGTCATGGCAGCCTGGGCTGAGCTGCAGTGACTACTTGGAAAGCCTACAGTGCTTCAGGCTTCTGGCTCTGGGCCCCTGGGGAGTCCCGGAAGTGTGGGAGCCAGGCTGAGTTCTGTGTGGCAGGGTGAAGGAGTACGCAGAGAAGGCAAATAGCTCCCAAGATGTAGGTGCAACCTGTTCCCGAGACACAACCTATTCCCGAGACACAACCTATTCCCGAGACGCAACCTGTCCCCGAGATGCAACCTGTTCTCGAGATGCATCCTGTCCCCGAGACATGGGCCCATCCTGTTTCGACTTCATCCAGACCCCTTGCTTTGAGCTCATTCCGGAGGAGGAGGAGTACGTGGAGCGGTACTGGTATGGCTGGTGAGTGCCGGCAGGCTGATGGGGGCGCCGTGGGGCATTGGCCCTCACTTTCTGTCAACCTTCTCTTTCCCTGTCTTCCCTCCCAGGTGCAAAGGCTTCAGGCCTATCTCTGTGGCAGTGATCCACCACCCCCTCCACCACGAATTTAGAGATGACCTAAATGAAGAAGAGGAAGAGGAAGAGGAGGAAGACAGCATACCTCCCATCCCTTCCCAGGTGGGGCCCACTGCCACCCCCGCCACGGACAAAGGCATAGCAATGGGCACGATCACTGGTGCACCAGACTCGGCGGCTCCCATTACCATCTGGCGCTCAGAGAGTCCCACAGGGAAGTCCCAGGGCAGCATGGTTATCAAGAAGGTTACCAAGAAGAAAAAGGAAAAAGAGAAAGATGAGGAGACAGATGAGAAGACAAAGCTGAAGAAAAAAATCAAGAAGGGCAAGTTGACTAAAAAGAAAAGCCCAGTTAAATTGGAATCTTCACCTCCAGACTTGAGCAGATCATTAAGCCCAAGGGAGCTGGTCAGGCTGTCGGAATCCAGCCCAGACAGCCGGGAAGACCTGGAGAGTGAGGACAGTTACAATGACCCCAGGCAGGAGGGGCCCTCCAGCGAGGATATTGTGGAGTCATCACCCAGAAAGAGAGAGAAGAACTCGGGCCAGTGCAAGAAACTTGGGGCAAAACCCTCTCCAATCAAGAAGGTCAACAAGAGGAAATCCCCCCCAGTATCCAGCCCCAATCTCAGTTGAGGCCAGGGCGACCAGGGTGAAGAATAAATGCCATCATGCCTGTCCCAGACCCCCTGCTGCTGTTCTCTCTCTAACATGGCTACTTCTGTGGGGAGGGGACGGGGTCTGGGCATAGCTGGAGCAAAGGGGCTAGGGGCCTCAGCCGTTTCTATAGGGCAGTCGTCTTCCAAGAGGAAGTCCATGGGAAGGAGGTGGAAGGGCAGGGAGGGCCACTGTAACAGCCTGTTTCTTTGTAACACCCGAGGCCCAGGGCAGAAGAGCACATCTGGGTGAGGAGGGAAGGAGGCTTCCCGTCTACTGGAGGCTGGTCTGTGTTAGGGTTAAATCCACTCGGACAGGCGAGATTATCTTTAACGATACCCCTAATAAACTGAACCTTTTAACCTCTGCCACTGTGCCTGCCCTTCCCCTCCTTTAAGTGGCCCTGGAGAAGGTGCTGGTAGCACCAGCTCTGTGGACCTGCTCCTACGAGGCCCTCTTACCTTTTGTGCTAAAGGGAACTGAAGGCCCCCCCCCCCCCCCCCCAACTCTTGCCAAAAGCTGGAGATCTTAAATGAAGAAAAAGTCCAGTGTGGCTCAATTGGTTGAGTGTCATTCCATGCACTGAGAGATCCACCAGTTCGATTGCCTGTCAGGGCACAGGCCATGGTTACAGGCTCATCCCCAGTGGGGGAGTTGCAGGAGGCAGCTGATTGATGCTTCTCCCTTTTTCTTTTCTTTTTTTTTTTTCAGACTCATTTCAATTACATATTAAAATTTTAACATTCTGAACACAAAATGTTATAAAAGGGGAGTGGAGCCCTCATCTCTTTCACAGAAGCCAGCCTGCCCTCTTTATAAGCATTTCCCAGGTAAAGTGGTCCAGCAAACTCATTCACTCAACTCCAGGAATACAGTTGTGACATGTTTACAGTAAAACTAGTTAAAATTTTGCAAATGCTACTGACTTGCCATCCAAATTTACTTTGAGATGGGTCTTACTCAGCGAGCCGTGGGCTCTAGCTGTCTTCCTGCCTGCTTCCTTACTAACCGCTTACATAGTTAACCAACCATGTATGTTCAGGGCAGTTAACAACAATGCCTGAAATGGATGCTTCTCCCTTTTTCACTCTCCCTCTCTCAAATAAAAAAAAGGCAAGGAAGGGAGCTCACCAAGTTTGGGCAGCAGTGGCTTTTTTTGACTTCTCTGCTGAGCCTCAAGCAGAGGAAAAGAGGGAAAGCCTCACTATCCCAGCAAGGACTCAGAGCTATGAGACAAAACCTTTGGGAAGAAACAGGGAGACCACAGTCCAGAATAAAAGGACCAAGGCCTGGGAACTGGCCTGCAACAGCCCAGCTCCCTCTTCCAGGGCCAGTGTTTGTGTGTAGCAGGCAAGTGTGGGCCCATCCTGGGTCAGACACACTTGACTGGTGAAGAAGTACTGCCAGTCATCCAGGCCCAGCTGGCAAAAAGGAAGAGATGTGCAGAGGGGAGAAACCCAGATTTACTTGTGGCCTTTCTCAACTGTGCCAAACAAGTCCACAGGTGCCCCATGACTTATGATGGGTTTACGTCCTGATAAACCCATTGTAAGTTAAAAATATCGTTAGGTCGAAAATGCACTTACCATACCCGAACACCACACCTTAGCTCAGTCTCCTTTAAACGTGCTCAGAATACTTACATTAGCCTATATTTGGGCAAAAGCATCTAGCACAAGCATGTCAAAGTCAAAGGCTAACAGGCCACAGAAATGAGGCATGTGGCCCGTGGGCCAGAGTGTGACATGCTTGCTCTAGCACAATGAACACACTGTTGATCGGTTGTTTACCCAGGTGATAGCTCACTGCTGTGCTGCCCAGTATCATGCAGCATCAGGAGAGTATCCTACTGCCTATCACTGGCCCAGGAAAAGAGCAGAATTAAAAACTTGAAGTACAGTTTCTACTGCATGTATATAGCTTTTGCACCACCGTAAAGTAAAAAAATCTTAAGTTGAATCATTAAGTTGGGGACCATCTGTAACAGGCACAGTGGCTGGCAGTGGCTGTGTGTGAGCGGGAATGATAGCAGCTAACGTTGACTGAGGCCTTGTGAGGTCCCAGGCATTGGGCCAAGCACTTCACACATTCTATCTGTCCTCACAGATGCTCTGATGAGGTAGGTATCACCATCTCCTTTGCAGACAAGCTGGCTTAGAGATAACAGGAGTGCGCTCAAGGTCATAGGACTGGGAAGTGGAACAGGAATGTGATCTCGGGCAATCTGGTGCAGAAGCCACCTGCTTCTGAGTAACTTGCCTTTCTGATGGCCTGGAGCAGGGAGTCGGAAGCCCTCCGAGCTCCAAACTCTGCTTTGAAAGCCACCCCTCAAGGACCAGAGAGGGAGAGAGAGGCTTTGTCAAGTGCTCTGTAGAAACACTGTTTATTCAAATGACAGGCAGGAAGCAGCGGTGGCAGCAGGTGGGTGAGGGTGGCCAGGAGGGGGCTGGGCAGGTTAGCACTGCAACCGTATGTCCCCTACAATCCTGCTTCGATAGCCACCAAGTTGTTGGCATTAAGGTCAGAAACACTTCCCGTCCTCTTCCTCCTGCCACAAACTGAATAAATAGCATCTGTCTCCCCGTAAGAGCTGGGGGAGACTCATGTGCTGAGCTTGCTGCCCGGTCACAGCCCAGAGTCAGGTAAGGGCAGAAGCTCAAAATGGCTTGTAGGGAAGTAGAATACAAAACTGTTCCACTCTTATTCTCATCTTCCTCCTCTTCCTCCCTGCCACACTCCCTTCCCAGCCTGGTCCCAGGAAAGGTGGTCGGTGAGGGCCTGGGATGGGAGAATTGTCGCCTAGCGTACATTGAGCTCAAGTTCAAAAGGCCATCCAGCCTGTCACCCACCCAGGCTGACCACCAAAGAGAACGTCAACTCACGCCACTTTATGGACAGAAAAGGAGAGGCAGGGAAAGAGGCAGGCATCTCCCAGCCTCAGAGGTAATCAGAGTCCTGGGAGCAGGCCCCCTACCGATCCATCTCGTCCAAGAGCGGGGTGGCATCGCCAGCAATAGACATGGGGGTGCTTTCAATCATAGGGCTGGGGGACGGCCGAGGTGTCAGCCGCTGCTTCTGTTTCCGTCGCTCAGCCTCCTTCTCCTGAAGCCACTGCTCCGCCATCTTCCCCCAGTCGATGGCTGCATGGCTGTTGGACCTGGAAGAGAGAAGAGGGCCTTTCAGATTGGAACACTAGAAGGCTCACCAGTCACTGGTGAACATCCACCCTTGCAGAAGTGGACTTCATACCTATGATCAGTAGCTGTGGCCAACTGCCACACTGCCCTCTTCTGTCATCTCCCAGAACGCGTCATGGGAACATCACCTGGGTCACAGCTCTCAGAAGATCCAGAGCACCTGCCCTTACTATTATAATAACCTGCTCCATGTACCACCCATATACTTACTTTGGCTGTTGCTGCCGTTGCCGAGAGCTGGAGGAGGGCTGGGGCTGGGCCTGGGCAGACTGTGGGGTGGTGCTGGCCTGTAGCTGGTGGTACTGAGGTGTGGTGATGGGCTGGCTCGGGGTTGTGTAGGAGTAGCTGGGGGTCATCAGTGGTGTGGCCACTGGCTGCTGGGCTGGCGTTGGGAACACCTGGAGAAGAGTGATCAGTTAAACGGGGATGGGTTTGGGGCATACTTAAGGTTCCCATGACTTTCTGCAAAGCTTTCCAGTTGGCCATCTCCTGAGCAGATAGGAGGCCAATGGAATGGGACCAGGCACAACAATAGGGCCTCCTGGTCCTGACCAGTTGAGGATTCTAGTGGTTTGAGGGGTCCAAAGATCCCAAGGACTTTGCAGAAAGATCAGACCTTCTCTTATTCCCTTTCACCCTCAAATGGGTCTGAGGAGAAGGATGATCTGTTGTAGATAAGGCCCATCTGTGCATAAAGGTGGGCACCGCCAGCAGCCAGTCTATGGACACAGGATGACTGTTCCCTTTGATTTCCCCCCACCCTCCACGAAGAGCTTCCCGTCCAAGCCACGTACGTGGTAAGCGCTACTGCCCCCTCCACTGCCACCATAGCCATACTGGCTGGAGGCCCACTGGGCTGGGGTGGCATTAGGGTTCTGTCCTTGGCCTGTCACAGCAGCAATGGCACTGAACATCTGTGAGGTCATGTTCTGGGGCAAGGCATTCACAGCCCGTGTCAGATCTGTAAGCACAAGGAGGTGGAAGAGGACACATTAGAGGTGCAAGTCCTAGCTTCATCCCTCTGAGTCACAGTCCTAGGCGGGAGCTCCTTACCCGCAAGGTTGAGGTTCGCTGGGGTAGCATTGATAGAAGCAGGTGTCCGCGTCCTGCTGCTGCTACTGGGAGTGATTCCTACAGGAAACAGGCAGAGTCAGTTATGTTTCTGGTTTCATAATTCAGGGAACTGAGGAGGTACTGAGAAAAATTAAGTTATGTAGGCAAGCGGATGGAAGAACTTCCTGATGCTAAGCGGGGCAGTAGAAACAGAGCTGCAGTGACAGCCTGTCCGTCACCCCCTTTCACAGGCTAGTGATGCCCTGGCTCAGAGCCAAGGCATCCTTCCAGCCACAGCCCTGAAGTCAGAGAGCGCAACTCACCCGGCACAGGATCCTGGTAATGATCCTTAAACCATCTGAAAAGTCCATTCACAGTTGGGAAGATTTGGCCCCGGTACCGGAATCCTTCTGGAGTCACCGTTACATACTCTATCCTGGGATTTTGGAAGGAAATACGCATCAGATACCACTTGGGGCCAGCCGTGAGAAAGCGGCCAGAACAGATCTCCATCACGTGAAGTAGTCACACTGGGTGCTAGGGGAAAGAAGAGATGAAAGAGCCGGCCCCTGACCCTGACTTTGGGGAGGGGAGGTGTGCAGAGCAGAGTACAGTCAAGGCCAGGAGTCAGTGGCCCCTGGTGTGCTACATACAGGCTGCCAGAGGAAGCCTTCGGGGGCTGGGCCACCATCCTTGGCCACCGTGTGATGGCAGCACCCTGCAGGTCAGGGTGAAACTGAAGTCACAGGCAGTCAGGGTTGGAAAAGGTCTCCCAAGGC